ATACAGCTTTGATGTATTTCTAAAACTAAAATACATTTCTAAAACTCATCATTGAAAAAACATGCATATATTCAGAGTTCTTGGGAACAAAAAATTATTAACTTCTGTATTTATAATATAAATCAATGTTTAAAAACAAAAGCAAATTTTTATTTGTGTTGTTGTTGCCTAAATAATTCAATTAAAAAGATTACGATAAACACATTAATCTAACTTTGGCTCTAAAATTAAACCATTTGCTGTCACAGTGAGATGAATTTCAGATCAAATGCAGAGATATTGAAAATAACATATTTCTACAGGAAAGAAAAATCACATTATTTTTAAGTATCCACCATTGCTTTTCACATGTAAATTAATTGGTCTTAGGTGTTAGCAGGCCTTAGGGCTCAATAGAGAAACATCAAGAGTTATTTTAAATTTCCTTTTGAAAGTTGTTATGTTAACGGTAGTATCCATAGTGGTGGAATTGTGTGAGAGCCAAGAATCACTGTTTAAAATTAGAGTAATAGAGAAGATGTTTAAAGTAGGGCAGGGCTTTAAACTTTCCTTCGTTTCCACTTTCTATTCTTGTCACTATCCAGTGCCAATTATTTAATTTCTCTAGGCCCCAGATCCTTGGCCACTACTTGTCTGTCAGTTTGTCACACTGTGGTGGCTTGCATATTGCTGTGAGGATGGAGGCCATGCCACCAATATTTCAAATACCAGAAGGGTAGCCCATGGTGGACAGGTTTCAGAGGAACTTCCAGACATAAGACAGACTCAGAAGAAGAAAGAAGTCATCCACTTCTCAAAAAATTGACCAGTGAAAACCTTAAGACTAGCAGTGAAACACTGTCTGATATATTACTGAAAAACTTTATGAATAGCCCTGAAACATTGTCAAATATAGTGCCGCAAGATGAGCCCCTCGGGTCAGAAGGCACTCAAATTATGACTAGGGAAGAGCTGCCTCCTTGGAGTAGAGTCAATGATAATGATGTGGATGGAGTAAAGCCTTCAGGTCCTCTATTTTCTAGTAGCATAGTGGCTGAGGCACTTGACTACTAACCAGTAAGCTGGCAGTTCAAACCTACCAGTCACTCCTCAGAAGGAAGATGCGGCAATCTACTTCTGTGGTGATACTGCCAAGGAGGGGTCGCTATGAGTTGGGTCCAACTCGACGGCACATAACAACAACAACAACATTTGCTGATGTGGCATGACTCAAAATGAAACGAAACAGCTGCAAGCATCCATTAAAAATCAGGATGTGGAATGTATGAAGTATGAATCTAGGAAAATTGGAAGTTTTCAAAAATGAAATGGAACACATGCAGATCAATATCCTAGGCATTAGTGAGCTGAAATGGACTGGTTTTGGCCATTTTGAATAAGATAACCATATGATCTACTATGCTGGGAGTAAGAAACTGATGAGGAATGGCATGGCATTCCTCATCACAAAGAATGTATCGAGATCTATCCTGAAGTACATTGCTGTCAATGATAGAATAATACACATACGCCTATAAGGAATACCACTTAATACTACTATTATTCAAATTTACACACCAACTACCAAAGCCAAAGATGAGGAAATTGAAGATTTTTCCCAACTTCTGCAGTCTGAAATTGACCAAATGTGTTGATTATCACTGGTGATTGGAATGTCAAAAAGTTGGAAACAAAAAAGAATCACTGGTAGTTGGAAAATATGGCCTTGGTGATAGAAATAATGCTGGAGATCACATGATAGAATTTTGCAAGACCAATGACTTATTCATTGCAAATACCTTTTTTCAACAACACAAATCGCAGCTATACTTATGGCCAGATGGAGAACACAGGAATCAGACTGACTACATCAGTGGCAAGAGGCAATGGAGAAGCTCAATATCTTCAGCCAAAGCAGACCATCAACTGCTAATATGAAAGTTCAAGTTGAAGCTGAAGACAATTAAAATAAGTCCACAAGAGCCAAAATGTGATCTTGGTATATCCCTCCTGAATTTAGAGACAATCTAAGAATAGATTTGATGCGTTGAACACCAGTGACCTAAAACCAGAGGAATTGTGGCATGACATTAGTTCTTCATCCATGAAGAAAGTAAAAGGTCATCAAAAGACAGGAAAGGAAGAATAGACCAAAATGGATGTCAGATGAGAGTCTGAAGCTTGTCCATGAATGAAGAGTAGCTAAAGCAAATGGAAGAAATTACAAGATAAAAGAGCTGAACAGAAGATTTCAAAGAGCAGCTCAAAAAGACAAAGTCAATTATGATAACAAAATGTGCAAAAACCTAGAGTTAGAAAACCAAAAGGGAATAACATGCTCAGCAATTCTCAAGCTGAAAGAACTGAAGAAAAAAATCAAGCCTCAAATTGCAATATTGGAAGATTCTATGGACAAATATATTGAATGATTCAGGAAACTTCAAAAGAAGATGGAAGGAATACACTGAGTCACTGCACCAAAAAGAATTGGTCGATGTTCATCCATTTCAGGAGGTGGCATATGATCAAGAATCAATGGTACTGAAGGAAGAAGTCGAAGCTGCACTGAAGGCATTGGCAAAAAACAAGGCTCCAGGAATTGATGGGCTACCCACTGAGATGTTTCAATAAACGGATGCCACACTAAAAGCACTCACTCGGCTATGCCAAAAGATTTGGAAGACTGCTAGCTGGCCAACTGACTGGAAAAGATCCATATTTGCACCCATTCTAATAAAGTGATCCCACAGAATGTGGAAATTATTGAACAATATCATTAATATCACATGCAAGTAAAATCTTACTGAAGATAATTTAAAAATGGTTGCAGCAGTATATTGACAGAGAACTTCCAGAAATGTAAGCTGGATTCAGAAGAGGGTGTGGAATGAGGGATATCATTGCTGATGTCAGATGGATCTTGGCCGAAAGCAAAGAATACCAGAAAGATGTTTACTTGTGTTGTGTTTTATTGACTATATAAAAGCATTTGATTGTGCAGATCATAACAAATTATGGATAGTATTGAGAAGAATTCCAGAACACCTAATTATACTCATGAGGAGCCTATACATAGACCGGGAAGCTATTGTTCAAACAGAACAAGGGGATACTGCATGGTTTAAAATCAAGAAGGGAGTGCATCAAGGTTGTATCCTTTCACCATACTTATTCAATCCGTATGCTGAGCAAATAATCCAGGAAGCTGGACTATATGAAGAAGAACATGGTATCATGATTAGAAGAAGACTTATTAACAACCTGTGATACGCAGATGACACAACTCCTTGCTGAAAGTGAAGATGACTTGAAGCACTTACTGATAAAGATTGAAGACTACAGTCTGCAGTATGGATCACCTTGATATAAAGAAAACAAAAATCTTCACTACTGGACCTGTAAGCAGCATCACGATAGGTGGAGAAAAGATTGAAGTTGTCAAAGACTTCATATTACTTGGTTCTATAGTCAGCACCAATGGAAGCAGCAGTCAGGACATCAGATGACTTATTGCATTGGGCAAATCTATTGCAAAAGACCTCTTTCCACTGCTGAAAGCAAAGATGTCTCCTTGAAGACTAAGGTCTGACCCAATTGCCTGACCCAGTTGCCCCATATGCATGTGAAAGCTGGACAATGAATAAGGAATACTGAAGACGAATTGATGCTTTTGAGTTGTGGTGCTAGCAAATAATACTGAAAGTACCGTGAACTGCCAAAATAACTAACCAGTTTCTCCTGGAAGAAGTTCAGTCGGAATGCTGCTTGGAAGTGAGAATGGACAGATGTCATCTCCCGTACTTTGGTCATGTTGTCAGAAGGAACCATTCTCTGGACAAGGATATTGTGCTTTATAAAGTGGAGAGTCAACGAAAAAGGGGAAGGCCCTCAACAAGATGATTGAAAAAGTGGCTACAATAATCGGTTCAGGGATAGTAGGAATCATGAGGCTGGCACAGGACCTGGACAGTGTTTCGTTCTGTTGTACATAAAGTTGCTATGGGTTGGATACTACTCAACAGCACCTAACAATAACAACAGACCCTTGGCTGTTAGAAACAAACAAAACAAACAAGCTTTGAAGGTCCTTCTAACTCCAATGTTCTGTAAGAACATTTGTCAATTTGTAACACAGAATCCATGAGATACTGTTATTTGTTGCAACAGAAGATTTGGAAAGCCTCTCAGAGAGTGGTTTCTAAGTGTGTTACTGAGTATTGTTGTGTTGTTATGTGCCGTCGAGTCAGCCCTGACTCATAGTGACCCCTCCTTGGGTTTCTGAGGCAGTATCACTACGGAAGTAGATTGCCCAACCTTCCTTCCAAGGAGTGGCTGGTAGGTTTGAACTGCCATCCATCTGGTTAGCAGTCAATGTCTATCTTAGCTACACCTCGGAAGGAAGATTGGGCAATCTACTTCCATAGTGATAGCACCTCAGAAACCCAAGGAGGGGTCACGATGAGTCAGATCCAACTCTATGGCAATGAGGTGTTTTTTTTTTTTTTGTATCTTTGCCATATTAGTAGATATTTCTCATTTCTAAAGATAATGGCTCTAACTATTATTTCATAGAACCATAGTTTGATGTGTATGTGTGTGTGTGTGGCACATAGATCATTTGCTGTGCTCAGCAAAAGTAAATCGTTAGAGTCGACTATTCCAAGTGATTTGATTCCCCCCTAAACTGCCAGTCAAAGCGATGGAACCTGGAGAGAACTAATTGAGATTCAAACTTGTGTGTACTTTTCTGTTGTGGACTGCACACTTTGCTTAAGGTGTAATTAAAGAGATACATTTCCCCAAGGTCTTTTTCTTTATAGTCTAGCTGAAGGGTGCTAGACTGTAGAACTCAATGACACATCCTCCCCTTAATATGATGTTTTACTCTGACCAAGAACTTTAAAGCTGTGTGTCTATAACATTTTCAGATATTACACTAAGCATCTCACTGCTCTGACTCTGGTGTTACTGTATAAATGAAACTTTGTGATCAAGCAAACTTCTGCTGTCTCTCCATTTAGGGCATCAACGGATATCTGTGACTAGTCTGCTTGTTTGCCACGGCTTGTTAATGGTTGGCACCAATCTGGGCATCGTTGTAGCCCTGCCAGTTCCTCGTCTGCAGGGAATCCCCAAAGTAACTGGTGAGTAAACTCAAGCAAGTGAGAACATACAAGTATTAAAGTTACTTATAAGGTTTTGTTATTTGGGCAGGGAGAGATATATCATGCTTAATTATCTTATTTCTTGTTTATTTCTATGATATTTCCTATTTTAAAAAATTTGTTTTAATATTTTTCCTTTCTAGGAAGAGGTATGGTGTCCTACCATGCACACAATGGTCCTGTTAAGTTCCTTGTAATGGCTACAGCTTTATCCAAAAAGACCAAAGACAAGTCCAGAGATAGCCTGCCTCCAGGTTCTGAACTCCAGGATGAAGACAAGAAGGACATGCTACTGAACGAAGGATTCAGCTCTTGCCTAAATCAGAGCAATGCTGATGGTGCCATTTGGTTGGGAGACTCATTCGGCACAATGACTCAAAAGAGTGAATTGTCGTCATCTTCTGGGTCTCTGACTTTATCTCATGGTTCCAGTTCTCTAGACCACAAGTCAGAGGACAGTATCATTTATGACCTCTTAAAGGATCCATACATCTCACTCAACAGTAAAACGAAGCGATTCAAGAAAGCAAAAGCTAGTTCAGTGTTGGTGGTTTGTGGAGGGCAGGGCCACAGACGGGTGAATAGGAAGGCCAGGCAACAACGGCAAGATGAGTTGGTTTCTTCAGTTATGGTCTGGCAGATCCCCCTGTTAAATATATAAATGAAATGGCACACTTTTGGGGATTGATATTTGCATTCAAGGATGATTTTGTTTTTTAGCTAAATCATATGACATAAATGATTTAGGCTGTGTCGACACTGGTTGGGGATAAATGAAAAACAGTATTTGGGGAAGAAATGTGCAATACCATAATGATGGCTTTCCTGCCAATTCGTTCTTTCTCTTTCAGACAACAGAACTGAATATAAACACTTTTAAAGAAGGTAAAAGATTGGTGCAACTTTTGAGTAATTTGAAGTTCTGGGAAAATACCATGCTGTTTTTGATTGCTGCAGTTCATACATTAGTACTAGATGTTAAACTTCATCAGCTTTGAAGTTACTGTATCATGTTGCTTAGAGAATTTGCAAACCAAGAATTAGTGAGGGAAATATAGCATTGTCAATAGTGTAGGAATTTATTGACAATTCTTACTTGATTCAGATTGATAACTTTTATTTATATCCTGTATTTTTAAATTTCAGAATAGAATTTGTAACAATTAGAAAAGCCACATCACATATACCAGTCCACGTGGTGTTACATGCTTTCAAAAGTAAGCTGGATTTTCCAAAGTGGTATAATCCACATAGTGTATATTTTAACAATGTAGTGTTTTTATATTGCATTTTGTAATTAAAAATTAACAGCTGATGTTTTAAGTAATATATTATCTGTAACATTTTACAAATAATGTTTGCTTTGAACCAAAATGCTCAATACCTAGCTTCATTTAGAGTCAAGCATCAATGCCAAAATATTCCTCCCTTCTCATATTAAATAATATTAATATCTACATTAGAAATATGTATGTTCTCGTACTGTAGGAAGCGTATACAATAAGCTGTGGTCAATTCTTCCGTGTGGTTTCTTGCACCAGTTGCCTTTGGAACACTATTTCTATTTTTGAATATACATTCTGAATGAATCATGGTGCTAGTCAATGTGGGTGTTCCATTGCTGGCAATGGGATGTGGACCAAGAAAACTGACCCTCTGATCAACACTATGTATCATTTAAATGTTTCTTCTGCAAAATACACAGGTTTGTATTCTGAAGTTCAACAATTCCATGTTGGTATTGTGAGTAATCAGTGAGTTCCATTATGTTCAACACGTATTTATATATCAATGCTTTACTTATTGGACCGTTAAAAAAAAATACTAATGCAGGCATTCAGCAGAAATAAATTTCTTAGCACTTTACAGATGATTAAACATGCTAATTCTATGATTTAGCCAAATATTTTCTAACGTGCATATATACCCCATGTGAAAAAAATATCGTCCCAAGCTTTCTTAAACTACTGGCTGCCATCTTATTTCATAAATAAAGTCTTTTATTTAAAAAATATAATATTACAAGTGCCTTTTTTCCCATAAATACAAAAGACTAATTAAATTCTGGAGGGGAGAAGGGTAGTCTGATCCATCTTTTCAAATTAGGCATCACCGCTGGCTGGTTTGGGAAGTCTTTATATATAAATTCCAGAGACAGTTCACAATGTAAATGGAAAATAATGCTTTGAATTTGAAGTAGTTACTACGAAACTTTCAAGAGGCTCATGTACTTGACAGTTTTTATTTTAATTTCAATGGCATCATGAATAAGTTTAATATAAAATATAAAAAGAAGTGTCTGTAGTAGACTAAGATCCATAACATTTTAAGTGATTAAAATAATAAAGCATCTCAATGTTTTCACTGGTAAAATGAAACAAGAAAATATCTTCATATGACTTTTATTTAAACTATGATAACTAAAATATTTTTGGTCTTTAGCAGTATCTCAAAAACTCAACTTACAAGCACTAAATGTTCTTACAGCACACAAATAAATAAATAAAAGTGGCAGTTGAGGTTTCAATTTCCATTATATATTGATAATATATTTTGAAAAACCCCTTATAATAATAACATATATGTGCCACTGTGTATTCTTTTTTTTTTTTCTTTCTTTCTTAAGGTAAGAGCACCTGGAAATTTTATTTTATTTCTAGTCAGTTTAGTTTATCTAAAAAAAAAAAAATCCAGTAAATTATAAAAGAGAAGGAAAAAACAAAAAAAGCCCTTACATAGCTAATTGGATTCATTGATGTGCTAGGCAGCACCCCATATTCAATTCTATTTCAAAACCTTTTTCCCTCTACAGTGTGATGGATTCCACATGTCTTAGAACTAGTTAAGTAAGGGACCGAAAGGTACAATGAGCTATTTTGACTATACTTTTTGAAAACTGAAATTACTAGAGCAAACTATGTAGACTCAATTATATATATATGTATATATATATATATATAAAACCGGGAGCTCTGGTAGCGTAGTGCCTAAAGGCACTTGACTGCTAACCAGAAGGCTGGTGGTTCAAACCCACCAACCACTCCTCAGAAGGAAGGTGGGCAATCTACTTCCGTAGTGATACTGCCTCAGAAACCCAAGGAGGGGTCGCTATGAGTCGAGTCCGACTTGATGGCACATAACAACACCAATATATATAAAACCAAACCAAACTCACTGCCATCAAGTTGATTCCAAATCATAGCAACCCCCATTGGGTTTCTGAGGCGGTAAATCTTTACAGAATAAAATTGCCTGGTTTTCGTTCCATGGAGTGGCTGGTGGCTTTGACCCACCAACCGTGTGGTTAGCAATTAAATGCTTTAGGCACTGTGTCACCAGAGCTCCATATATATACATACATACATACATATATATATAT